AATAAAAAGGAACAAGCTACTGATACAAGCAACAACATAGATAAATCTCACAGACATGCAGAATGAAAGAGGCCAGATACAAGGGTTCATATCATATAATTCCATTTATATGAAGTTCAAAAACAGATTAAACTAGGCCTCCTCCCCACTCCCACCTGGCCAAGAGGGTGGCACAATGACAGCGCCATTCCCCCGCTAAGGCCCGTCACCCACCTCCTTCTGGACACTGAACAGCTCTATTCAGTGGTGTTTCAAGAAATCTGCGATCACTATGAGAAGTACACCCGGGATGTGAAGTCCCTGGTGATGGGCAAGAAGGCACTAGAGGCGGCCCAGGTCATACTAGACGCCCTGCAGCTGCCCATGTCCAAAGACAAGCTGGAGGAAGACAGCCAGGTGAAACTGCAAGACGTGTTCCCCACGGCCACTCTGATGTCAGGAGTGGAAAAACACATCGTTCACCATCTGCGGAAGCGCCACGCATCGTTGGTGGTGGCCACCAGCTCCGGATCCTTCGAGATGAAGACCAGTGCACACAAGGAATTCTTCAGCTTGTTTGATCACATCGTTTTGGGGGATGACCCCGAAGTGAGGATGGCACGCCGGACCCAGGCATATTTCTCGCCTGTGCGAAGAGGTTCTCCTCTCCTGCCCGCGTTAAATGCCTCGTCTTTGAAGACACTCCCAACGGGGTGGAGGCGGCCCTTGCGGCTGGAACACAGGTGGTACGGTTCCAGATGGAAACTTACACCAAGACTTGACATAGGTCACGGTCGCGCTGCGGGGCTTCCGGCCGGAACTCTTCGGTTTGTCATCCTGTGAGTGAGAGGGCCGCCACGCGGCTGGGGGTGGGGGGCGTGCGCACTGAGTGAGCGATTTTGCCCAGGAAGCAGCGAGGATCGGGCAACGCCCACATCGCCACGGGCAACAGCCATCCCAGACTCATGACTTGTGCGCTTGCTCTGCTGTAAGAGCAAATGAAAAGCCGTAACTTGACAGTTGAGAGAAAACAAAATAGAGACAGCCCAGAACAGAGATTAGAACTGAGATCAAAATTGTCCTTTGAAAAATCCTATGATATGATTGTATTTGCATAGTCATATAATCATGTACAGTGAATATGCAATCATACATAACACGTTTGTGTGTGAATATGTGCTTTCATATATATGTCAATACATACTTTTCCAAGACAAAATGAAATTCTATTTGTGTTCATTTCTTTTTAGTTTTTCTAAACCCTGGCTGGAACATGTAAAATATGTATACATATATGCATATGCTTTTATGTATATCTATGTATGTACATACATATCACTATATACATTCTACACTTCACCACTCTCCTCAGTGTTGATCTTAATATGTAGTAGCAACTGATAAAAGAGCTGGTAATTCTATTTGCTTTGTCAGCTGAGTGGGAAAGCCATGTCATGGGCGAGCCCTTAACAAATCATTCACCTGAAACTAATAGAAAATATCGAATGTCAACTGTAATTGGGAGATTAAAAAAAAATAGATGAAAAAAAATCATGTACAATATGAAAAATAAATAAATAAATAAAAGGAGGCTTATAAGCCAGTTCATATTCTGGCTTTACAATTGATTAATCTGTATAACCTTAAACAAATTATCAAAACACTGATTCTCAGTTTTTACATTTGTGAAATGGGTACAATACCAACATTTTCAGGTCTGAGTAACTTAATAGTGCCTGGTATATAGTATATGCTTTATGAATATTTGCTGTTGTTAAAGAGAGAGTGAGAGATTCTGTGAGTGTGGTGAAGGGGAAATTTTGCTGCTTGATTCATGCTTATTTTTTATTTTAATTAAGAAAACTATGTCTTTGTAATAAAATAAATTTTAAGTTGGAAAAAAACCCACCAGATTAATTTATAGGAGTATAAACCAGTGGTTGCTTCTGGGAGGGGGGAGGGATTGACCACAAATGGGCATGGGAAAAAATAGGGGGGTGATGGAAATGATCTATACCTCAATTGCAGTGTTGTTGACATATATTTGCCAGAGGTCATCAAACTGTACACTTAAGATCTGTGCATCTTACTGTATCTAATATATCTCAGTGTTTAAAATGTCATTTACCTGGACATTAAGCCTTTCAGAGAGATGACAGAGGTTAAAATAGAGGAAGCTGGAGAGTCAAGTACCAACTCTTGGTGAATGTGAGCAAGGTCGGATAATGATAGCAAGAAGGAAAGACTGAGGATGATGGGGTCCAATGCTATGAGCCTCAGCAGAGAAGTTGTGATGAGAGGTTGAAAGAAGAAACTGGGAACCATTAATTAGTTGAAAAACATGTATAAGGACTTAACCAGAGACGCCACCCACATCTCACTCCTGCCAACACTTAGAGGAGGAATCGCCAGTGAGGTGGGATCACCTGTGCTGGGATTCCAGCGGCCCTTCTGTGTTGTCACCTCTTTGCTCTTTGTTCTGAGCTGGGAATTTATTGACTCTGATCATGCTCAGGTCAGCCCACAGCTAGATGTTAAAGAAGTTAGAACAGAGATGTGTGTACATCCACTTCACAACTTTTCTTTTCGTTGCCTTTCCTCTTGAGTCCCTGGTAAAACTTTCTTTTGAAAGATTCCATCCTTGTGTCTGCTGAGTTGATTAGCAGAGCAGTTCCCACCCTGCAGGTCAAAGCTCCCCAGAGGGCCTCAGAATTATTAAAAAGGGTCCACACACATAATAGAATTTATTATAGATGGACTTTTGAAAAATCCAAGTATTGTCTTTGAAATCCACAACATTTTTGGATATTGAAAATCGTATGTAGAGAAAAGAGGAGAGAGCAGGATACCCTTGAGTTCAGGCCCAGCTATAAGACTGGTCATTCTAGCCCAGGACTGGGGAGGAGATAGGGGCTAACAGAGTACAGCAGGGTCTGGAAGTTGACAGGTGCTACTCCCGTTTTACAGATGTGCAAGTAGTAGAACCAGGACTCCAATTTAGGCTGACTTGACTTCTAAGCCACATTGCCCAGGGACATGGAGATTGAGTGTATACTGTGAAAGTATGGTTTTATCTTTAGGCCAGTCGCCCATTTCAGTCCCCACCCCACTCCACTAAGTGGTGACCTCCCCTCCTTCACCAAACCGTGGGCTTCTCACAGTTGAATAGAAGACACACTTTTCTCTACATCGACTCTTTGGGTAGGAATGGATGTTGATAGGACAAGGCAAGGGACAGACAGGGCAGAAGCTGGAATTAAGGCCCCGCTGAGAAAAGCCATCTATTGGTAACTCAGGCCTCCCTATGCTCTGTGACCACAAGGGGGCAGCTCTTGTCTTGCCATGGTACCTCAGTCCCACATCCTCAGGTTAGAGTGCTCTGAGGAGGCAGCCACTCCACTGATGGAGAATGTCTGAGTTAGTCCTTTCCTGCTGTGTGGCATGTGTGTTTGTCTAAGTGGCTCATAGAAGTTAAATAATTTGTTCAAGCTTATATGACTAGTTTATGAGGGAGCTGGCATTTGAACCCAGACTGGTTCTAAGTCAGCATTCTTGCTGCTTTTCCAAAAAAAAAAAAAATTGCTCTAGATCACCACAGTGTAGGGTGGGAACTGCACAATCTACAAATGTATTGTGAAACAGAGCTAGAAACATAGGCACAAAGAAAAAATATATATTGATATAAAAGGAGCCAGAGAGAAGTATGTGGTGAGAGGGCTGGGCCCATGTTTCACCAGGCATATTACAGGGAATCCTTTTCTATGTGCTGTGTTAGCTCACATAGGTCTATAATATTAATACATATACAAGAGTGTGTGGCATACTCTTGTATTAATCCATGTATTGGGTCGTCGGAAAAGTCATGACACATTTTTGCATTGAAAAACAGAGAAAAATATGTCATGACTTTCCCGACGACCCAATATAATCTTGGAGTTACATGTAATGCAATGTGTCTTTCATTTGTGTTCTGTACAAAAACATTTCATGTAATGGAGACGTTGTGATTTCTTGATAAATGTTAAATAGTGAATAAAATGATATATGATGGATTTACCAGTGATAAGTCCATGCAGGACGTTCTAGGTCAGCGGTTCTCAACCTGTGGGTCGCGACCCCTTTGGGGGCCGAATGACCCTTTCACAGGGGTCGCCTAAGACCATCGGAAAACAAAAAGATATTTACATTACGATTCATAACAGTAGCAAAATTACAGTTATAGAGGAGCAACAAAAATCATTTTATGGTTGGGGGTCACAACAACATGAGGAACTGTATTAAGGGGTCACGGCATTAGGAAGGTTGAGAACTGCTGTGAATCTAGGTAAAGCAGGCCTCTGTGAGAGGTGTATTCCTTTAATGGAGATCTGATTATCAATGAGCCCAAACTTCTCCATCAGCTGCACTCACTCTGCCAGACCTTGCAACTCAACACAGTGTAAGTTAAACAGGGAGGGTGAAGACTATGCAAATACAGCTTCCAAACAAAGACCCTAGCAACCCCTGTCTCCACCACCAATCAGCTCACTCCTGTGAAGCCCTACAATGATAGAATTTCTCAGCTGCCCTGGGGGAGGGCCTGATTCCAGGGAAGGGAATGATGGGGTGGGCTTGGGCTCTGTTGAGCCATGGGGAGGGGAAGTAGGTGAGCTCTGGGCCCAAGAGGCTTCTGGAGGTTTCTTCTGGGTAAAGTGTCGCTTTTCTTGGACCTCAGAAAGTGGAGGAACCACATCCTGGTCTCACCCACCTACCCTCTTGTTACCAGACACTAAGCCCCACCCTCCCTCTCAAACACTTAGGCAACCTGCCCACATGCTTCCCCCACCTCCTGGTGACCCAGATACCTCCACTCGCAGTGGCCTCTCTCCTCAGAGAGGCATGCATTTCATGCCCAAGGTCCCAGGCAGTTGAGGTCCTTTGGCAAGTGATGTGTGAGTCCTGTGTGTTGTAGAAAGCTCCCCACTCTCATCTGGTGACGAAAGGCTTGGTCACAAGTGGTGGGTCGTTTCTCCTCCACCCACACCTCACTGCTCAAGGTCCCCTCGTCAACTGGAACACCCTCCGACATGGCCCGGATGCTGTTGCTCGTCTTTACCATGGTCCATCCAGGTGATAGAGCTTTCTCCCAGGGCCCTGTGGGGTGTGGGGCTGAGAGGAGGGAGGATGGGGGAGGCTGGACATAGATATCCCAGGGGAGCAGGCGTGGTGGAAGCTGAATATGGAGTCCTGAGAAAAGTGGCAAGGAGAGGAGAGTGGGAGCAGGTGGGATCCTCAATAAAGCCGATACTCAGGGACCCCCCCCCCCCCCCCCAGTTCTCAGTTCCCTCCATGTTGTCCACTAGGAGGTCTCTCCCCAGATTCCATCACAGGCCTCTTCTCAGCCACCTTCCTAATAAGATAAAGTTGAAAGAACCAGTAAAATCTGCTTGAAAGAAGGAAGGGCTTAAGGGAAAGGGTCAATTTTTTTTAAGGGGTCAGTTTTAATTTGATGAGTTTAATAAACCTGTTAAACAAAGCTTATTATCTGGGTCTAGATATAATTAGGAGTTAGGAAGGCCTAATTAAATCTAAGATAAGTTTTTTAGTGAAATTGATTTTAATTAACAGACAGACCTTACTTATCAGACATACCCCTTAACTAAATACAGTGTGGACTCCAGGTCTGTAGCTTCAGATCAGCTGGGAACCTGGGTCAAATCCAGGCCCCACTCCAGACCCACTGGATAAAAAACTCTGGGGTGGGGCGCAGGGATTTGTTTGAATAAAGACTCCAGGTGATTCCAATGAACTCTAGAGTTTGAGAACCACTGAAATAGAAGAATGATTGGTAAATTTCACTAACTAGAGAATTTAATCAGGGATTTTAATAATTGGTGTAATTCATCAACTTGGATTAAGTTAAATAGGGATCCCAATCAATTATAGCCATGTCTTCACCTGCAGATTTAAGTAGTTAATGCTCTTTAACAAAAAACAAAGTAGCAAGGGTGTTATACTATAGACTGTCATTAGAACTAAAATAATACCTGGAATAAAATAATTAACGATATGAACCAGGCAGTCACATTCATTAATGAGTTCAATGTCACTTTGACAGGTTAAATTTCAGCAAGATGCTACTAGTGAATGCAGCTGGAGAAGGATGGGAGAGGGAGAGGGTGAGTTGGTATAGGAAGGAATTTGAAAAATAATGTAATAAGCAATGTTAAGAAATTAGATTGGTGAAGAGGAAAGGATTGAATGAGGAACCCAAAGTGCTTGTCCCCTTGATTCTCCATGGGTGAGGGGACAGCTGGGATGTTCTGCCGGCTGTCTTATCTTTTCTCTTTGGACTAACTGGGGAGGTGTTTCTCTGGGTCGTCCCTCTGTCCCCAGGATCCTGTGCTCTCTGGGTGTCCCAGCCCCCTGAAGTTCGTACCCAGGAGGGAGTCACTGCCTTCCTGCCCTGCTCCTTCAACGCCAGCCGAGGGAGACTGGCCATTGGCTCTGTCACATGGTACCGGGACAAGGTGGCCCCAGGGTACGAGGTGGGGAACAGGACCCCAGAGTTCAGGGGCCGCCTGGCCCCTCTCGCCTCTTCCCGCTTCCTCTGTGACCACCAGGCTGAGCTACACATCTGGGACACACAAGGCCGTGACGCTGGAGTCTACGTGTGCAGAGTGGAGGTGCTGGGCCTGGGTGTCGGGACAGGGAATGGGACTCTGCTGGTGGTGGAGACAGGTGAGGCGCCTGCCTGGAAGCTGTGCCTCCTTGGCTGGAAGCCCCACCCTTCCTGGAAGTTGAGAGTCCTTCCCTGAGGCTCCCTGCCCTCTGTCCCTCCCTGAGCCTGTGCACACTTCTTCCCCAGAGTCCCCTTTACCAAGTGCTTCCTTTCTACCACCCACACACAGAACCTCCTCAGCAAGGGGCTGTCACAGCCCTCCTCCTTCGGGCTGGATTCTATGCCTTCAGCTTTCTCTCTGTGGCCATGGGCAGCACCATCTACTACCAAGGCAAATGTGAGTGATGGAGCCTTGCAATGGCGAAAGAGGTGAAGGGGCAGTGAGAGAGCCCATGGGGCAGACCGAGACCAAAAAGAGGAGGCCTGCAGTACCCAGTGACTCTGGTCATCTCTCCACCAGGCCACTGTCACATGAGAACTCACTGCCACTGCTTAGATGGCCTCTGATGAGTGATTCCAGACTCCAGCGATCCCAATGCTCTTCAAGAGACCCCAATAAATCTCTCTCTGCCCCACCACTAACTTCTTATGAGTCTCTGTGTATTTACTTCTCTGTTCTCCAGAAGCTCCAGCGTGCCCCTCTCCAGATTTCCCTGACTCTTAACTCTCCCTTCTAGTAAGTCTGGCCTGGAAAGGTCCAAGGAGGGAGGTTCCCAGCAATTGTGCTTAGAGCCTCCTCCTACCACCATCCTGGGGCTTGACAGGATGGGACTTACCTCTTCCAGGCCCAGGAGGGTGAGGTCAGTTCTCCTGTGAAATGGGAAGTATCAAATCTGATTAGTCCTACTTGTCATGTCAATTGCCCACAAATATAATAGTCCCCTCTTATCCGAGGGGGATACGTTCCAAGACCCCCAGTGGACACCTGAAACCATGAACTGTACTGAGCCCTATATATAATATGTTTTTTCCTAAACATACATACCTATAATAAAGTTTAATTTGTAAATTAGGCACAGTAAGAGATTAATAACAATAACAATAGAACAATTATAACAAATGCACTGTAATAAAAGTTATGAATATAGTCTCTGTCAAAATATCTTAATGTAAAAAAATATATCTTATTGTATTGTTCTCACCCTTCTCGTGATGTGAGATGATACAATGCCTGCTTATGTGATGAGATGAAGTGAGGTGAATGACAGAGGCACTGTGACATAGCATTAGGCTACTTGTAAGGGTGACTTGAACACAAGTACTGCAATACCTTGACAGTCAATTTTATAACTGAGATGGCTACCAAGTGACTAACAACGGTGGGTAGAGTGACAGTGTGGATAGGCTGGATAAAGAGATGAGTCACGTCCTGGGCAAGACAAAGTGGGACAGCATCAGATTTCATCATGATACTCCAGAGTGGTGTGCAATTTTTTTTTTTTTAAAGATTTTTATTGGGGAATTGGGGGAAGGGGAACAGAAAAGTTGCTGTCTTTTTTAGATTTTCTTTAATTGGGGGAATTGGGGGATGGGAACAGACAAGTTGCTGTCCTTTTGTTCTTCAGGCTAGTTGTGGAGGACGTTGCTTCACTGGCCCAAGTTGGCACCGTCATTGCGCTCTTCCCGGGTGAGGCAGATCAGTCACCGGCTTCTGGACGGCCGCTCACTGCAGCTGCTGGCCGCTCACGCTGGCTGCTGGCCGCTCACGCTGGCTGCTGGCGACTCATGGCAGCCCAGCTCCAGGTTGAGCTGTTGTTCAGCATCTTAGCTGTAGAGGGCAGTGTCACTGGCCCTCATATGTGGGATCCGAACCGGGGCCCTCTGGCATCCCAAGCCAGTTCTTAACCATCGCGCCACTTGGCCGGCCCGAGTGGTGTGCAACTTAAAACTTATGAATTGGTTTTTTTTTAGATTTTTTTTTATTGGGTAATTGGGGGAGAGGAACACACAAGTTGCTGTCCTTTTGTAAAACTTATGAATTGTTTATTTCTAGAATTTTCCATTTAATCTTTTTGTGCCATGGTTGACCGTGGGTAACCAAAACCATGGATTGGGGGGTGGCGGGACACTACTGTACTCTTTTCTGGCCTTCAGGAGAACTTGAGTACCTAAACATCCTTCTTCACCCAATAAATCACTACTTGACCCCAAACAAGGTGAGAGGGTAAGTCACTTAAGTTTTGATTGTGGCCATGCTGAATGGGAGATTGAGATAGATGGAGAAGCCTGAGACACAGAAGGTGGCAAGACAACCGACTTTACTGGGTGAATCACAGGACACCATCCGCCTAGGTTGAGGGCAGTGTCTGGGGGTGCTCAGGTGGGTTTGTTCTGGGCAATACAGGTGTAGTCGGAGCTAGGGTCTTCCTTGGAGCCTTCCCTTTCTCTGTTGCCAAAGTCAGGTCCCTCACTGCAGGGCAGCCTCTGCAGAGATGCATAGTGGAGCTCCTGCTCCGAGACCTGGGCCTGGGGCCAAGGGAAAAGGTACTGAAGGAAGGGAGGTCACTGGAGGGGCCTCCCTCTCTGACCCTTCCCTGTGTTCTTACCTCCCCACCACCACTCTCTGACCTCATTGCCTCCTCAGTCTCCTCTGCTCTCTCGCCCTCCCTTCCCCTCCCCACCCCTGCTGCCCTCAGCTCTTGTTTTTTTCTCTTGCCCTTTCTCTTTGTCTCACTCTCTTTCTCCCCCCTTCACTCTTATTCTCTCACTCTCTTACTTTTTCTCTTGGTATCTATTTTCCCTGTGTCTTTTTCATTCTCTCTCTGATTTTCTCGCTCATTTCTTCCCCCTTTTTCTTTCCTATCTTATTTCCTCTTCCTATCTCTATACCATTTCTTTCCTCTCTTCTCTTTTCTCTCTTATTTTCTCTGTCTTGCTCA